GGACGCCCAGGTCACGAAAGAGGTGCCGGAAGTGGCGAATGGTGGCCGCGGACGTCGTGTCCGAGCCACAGATTACCACCACAAGCCAGCCAGAGAGTCGGTCGGCGACAACTAAGAAATGTTTCCCAGCTGTGCTGAAGAAATCAGCCGACACGGACTCGAAGGGCCTGGTGGGTTCGTCGTCGCACAAGAGGGGCTCCTGCTGTTGACTGGGCTGCATGATCTGGCACGGCTCACAGGCACGGACCGTATTGACGATATCCGTGTCAATGCCGGGCCAGTACACAGCCTGCCTTGCGCGGCACTTGGTGGCCTCTGCTCCACGATGGCTGTCGTGTAAACGGGCCAGAACGCGACGACGGAGAGCTGCAGGGACGACCACACGGGCACCGTACAGGATGAGGTCCCCATCTGCGTAGAGGTCCTCACGTATCTTCCAATACGGGCGGAGGGCGTTGTGGAGGTCAAAACGGTCGCGAGGGAACCCAGTCCTCACACTCTCCAAGAGCTGAGTGTAGGAGGGGTCGTTGCGTGCCGCGGTCCGTAGTTCCTCAAGGGCCAGATCGCTGTCGGGTGGCGACACTGAGGCCTGGGTGCTGGCGAGGGACTGTACGGCCTGCAAAGTGACGATGTTGCTGATGGAGAAACCGGCCTCGGTGCTGAGCATCTCGTCTTCAGGTGTAGGGCGGCTGACTGGGGAGCGGGAGAGGGCATCCAGGATGCAAAACTCCTTACCTGCGCTCCAAGCCACGGTGAAGACGAAGGCCAAAATCTTCTCCTTCAGGCGCTGGAGGCGGGGATTCTCGATGGCGTCCAGCGAATAGTGATTAAGAATGGGGACCAAGGGCCTGTGGTCTGTGATGAGGTCGAAGTGCTGTAGGCCAATCAAGTAAAATTTGCACTTCGATAAGGCCCATACCACTGCCAGCAGCTCCAGCTCGATGGTAGCGTAGCGAGACTCAGCATCGGTGAGGAAGCGAGAGCCACACTGTACGAGCCGGTACTTTCCTCCACCGTGATCCTGGAGAAGGGCGTAACCAACCCCGTACAGGCGTGAGGTGTCTGTCTGGAGGACGGTGGGGAGCGCTGGGTCAAAAGTAGCGAGGATAGGTGGACTTGACAGGGCCTCCTTCACCTTATGAAAGGCGAGGTCGTGGTCAGGGGTCCACGTAAAAGTCCTCTTGGGGCTCATCAGGGGGCGGAGAGGCCCGGCAGCGGCGGAGACGTCAGGAGAAAATTCTGTCAGCTGGTTCACCAGGCCCATGAAAGACCTGAGATCCGTAAGGTTGGCAGGTTTTGCAAAGCCCTTTATGGCGCTAACTTTCTCCAGGTCTGCAGCAATGCCATCCCTTGAGAGTCGGTAGCCGCAGAAAGACACTGCAGGTGCGGCCAAGACGAACTTCTCGGCGTTCAGAGTGATGCCGTGCGTCCTACACCTGGTCAGTACCTCGTCGATGCGGCGAAGATGCGTCAGGTAGTCCTCATCGTAGAGGAGGACGTCATCCACTACCTTCACGCAGTTGGTCACGCCTTGAAGTGCCATGTCACCACGGAGACAGAAGGCGTCCCCCTTAGCAACGAATCCCATAGGGCCACGGCAGTAGCAGAAGCGTCCGTAAGGCGTGATGAAAGTGGTCAGTGGCTGATCCTCCTTCTTCAGTAGGATCTGCCAGTAACCACAGAGGGCGTCCATTGTCGAGAAGTGCCGTACCTTCGGGTCCACACTCTGTATAGCTGCAAAAGGTGTGGGTGAAGGGTGGGCAGGACGGGACACCTGGCTGTTAAGCTTAGACAAGTCGGTAGTAATCCACACTCCACTGTTAGTCTTAGCCACAGCGACTAGAGGGTGGCACCAAGGGGACGGGTCGTCACCAACGGGTACGATGACACCCTGGGCCACCATGGAATCCAGTTCCTTCTTGACTGAATCCCTGAAGGCAAGAGGGATCAACCGGGGAGTGTGTATGGCAAACGGCTGTGCATCTTCCCGCAGGTGTATCGTCATAGGTGGACCCGCCATAGCCTTCGGTGGCGTGGTCCGTAGGGCCTCCTTCGTCACCAGCACATCCGAGTACTCCTTCAGGAAGTAGGCCCTTGCGGCTGAAGGAGACGTCTCGCTGTGAAGAGGAAGCAGCCGTGACTTGGGTGGAGGCGGGGCGGGAGTGGACGCGGGTTCTGGGCAGCTCTGTGCGGCAGTGCCAGGCGCGTCGCTCGTTGACTCACGCACCCTGCTGGCGGTGTACCGAGCAGCTGGGATCTGCTCGGGAAAGTCTCTGGGCACCACGCCTAACTCCTTGCAGTGCTCCCACGACAAAAAGGGTGTAGCAAGAGTAGGCTGCACGTCGATCCATCCGTGACACGACCTGTCGCCGTAAGTGATCTCCGCTTGAAAGGAGCCCACAGCGTCCGGCATCTGGGAACCGTCCGCATTGTAGTACTGCAGCTGCGGCGGTGGTCCCAGGCCGCGTTTGCTGAGGCCCAGTTTCTGGAGGTGCTTCAGGCCTATCACCGTAGTATCAGTGCCGGTGTCCGGTATCACCTCGATGTGACCCGACACATCACAGTGTGTGACGGCGACGCGGATGGTAGGGGAAGGGGTAGCCCTGGGGCGTGTGGTCGAGTCCACCCTTCTGATATGACTCAGCTGCTGCTTGGGGCTGCGTGGGCCATCTGAAGGGGGCTGCGTGCGAACCACCCCAAGAGAAGTGCACTGCTTTCCTCCTCGTCTCGGGCTTTTGGGCTTGGGTTGGTGGCAGCACTTGTCGTGGTGTCCATAGTGGCCTCGTGCAGGGCACCTGTCTGTGTTAGACCAGTGGCCCTTACGGTCACATCCACGACACAGTGCGTCGGTGGCCGGGCATGTCTTAGGGCCATGCTGCTTTCCACAGCTGCCACAGGAAGCACTAGGCGGAGGCGTGGAAGAACGTGCGGCAGCCTTCACGTTGTTGGCCGCCTTCTTACCCTTCTAGTACTGTGAGATAGCTCTCACAGCAGGTGGGGCCCGTAAGGCAGAGGTGGTGGACTTGGTGGCCTCGTATGACCGACATTCAGTCACTACCACCTGGAGTGTGGAGGAAGCGTCCAGGGGGATGAGTCGCTGCACCAACTCTTCTTGCCTGACACCTGCCAAGATCCCGTGCTTGATCCAGACTTCCTCACATTCCCGCCTGTGCGCCTTGCAGACGTCGATCTCCTCTGACAAACTCTTCAAACGTACAAAAAAGTCGTCAAAGGATTCATTCTCCGCCTGCTTGCAGCTGGTGAAGGCGCGGCGACGCAAGGCCTCGTTGTTCCGACCTTTAACGTGCTCCTGTAAAAGGTCGAGCACATCCGTCACTGAAGATGTAGAATCGGGAGGCACTTGCAACGTGTGCTCCAAAACTCTCTGGGTCTCCAGCGACAAACACATCCGCAGTTGGATGAGCTGTTTGTTTGGAGGCATGCTGTCAAGGTCCACCATCGTGGAGTAATCTGTCCACCGCCGCCTCCACTCATGAAAAAGCTGAAACGTGACATCTGGTGAGAGGGCGGGTGGGGGTTGAACAGATGCCTTGGGAGCTGTTGGAGTAGCAAGAGTACCTGGAGGATGCTGGTGTGGTGGAGGAGGGAGGGTACTGGCGGCTTGGTGCGCGAAACCTGTGAGGGAGGGAGGGTGGGTTAGCGCCAGGGTCGCCAATAGTGCATCAAAACGCGACTTTTCCTCCTCTCTTCGTGTCTCCTCCCTCTGAAGTTCCATCTCTCTGCGTCGCTTGTCCCTGTCGTCCATCCACCTCAGAATTGTGGCAATGTCCGTCGCTGGAGGTGGAGGATGAGAGTCTGCGCCCGGTGGAGGGGATGGTGGTGGGGAGTCGTGTCTCCCATCTTGACATTGTCCCTTCTTACCGCCCATCTTAGTATGCTTCAACTACGCTGTTTAGTATATAAAGTGGCGCCTCATCAGCTCGAACCACATATATATGACATAAACAGCGCAGAAATAATGCAGAGAGTCCACTGTTCTGTCCGTGTGTGTGTGTGTGTGTGTGTGTGTGTCTCAGAGAGCAGAGCGTGGTGGCCACTGCGGAGGCAAGAACGTCAGTGTCTCCCCGGATGTCACACGAGGAGGGTGTCCGCCTGCGTGCTCCGTGGGTTCCACAAAAAAGAGGCCAATGCTCAACTCTCAGCTCTAGACACACTAATACACTGACACTAACACTGCCACCGTCACTAGAACGCACTGTGATGGCGCAACACTGCACGTCGCGGCGAAACACAACGCAACACAACACAACACACTAAGAGTCGACGCCCACATCGCCGGCAGTCGCACATCGCCGGCTAACTGTCCATTGTTCACACACTTGTAAGTCCACAGATCCTACTCACTGCGCCATGAAGGTTCCAAGTGTTCCCTGAAGAAGGCAGTGATGGGTAGGGAAACACCGGGTAACACTGAAGTCCATTTATTAACGGATAGGAGAAATACAAGTGGTGACTTGCGTGTGCCATGCACGGCCCACAGAGTCAGACTGAGACTGCCTTGCCATATGGCAGCCTCGGGACAATGTCGCCACATAACACGTGCAGTGTTGCCACGTAATTATATACATAGATGCTACTCGGCACAGTAGCTTATATACAAGGCTGCTACTCGACACAGTAGCTTAGATACATAACCTACACGGTCCAAGGGCCAATGAGGCGTGAATTTGTTTAAGGTGTAGAAGTTGTCGCCAACAAAACAACCACACCCTGAGTTAACGAGTTGCAGGAACAGTCTGAGAAGACCGGACAACTCGCTAACTGCACTGGCTAACCATTACCCTGGAACACGATCCGCAAATCGATTAACATCCAGGTTCCCAATTACTGCTGGGTAGACGGAGGCAAATGGCTGGGAATCGAACCCGGGTCCACTGGCTTGCGTGGCGAGCATGCTGACCATTACACCATATACATACATACATACATACAATTTACTGTACTGGCATAATTTTAAGTGCTTTTTCTTTTTGTTTCAGGGTAGACCTCAGCGTCAGGACGAAGGATCAGGAGGGAAATCTCAGCCATAATTCGTGCCTATAATGCAACCTGCACCAGATTGATCGCCTCAGCGCAAGGATTGATTTGCCACAGCACCAGACCTGATCAACTGCAGCGCTTAGACTGATCAGCCTAGGCACTTCGACTGGAACACCCGCTGCGCCAGGACTGATCCACTTGCAGCAACAGGAGTGATTAGCTGTATCACCTGAACTGATCAATTGCAGTACCAGGAGTGATCAGGTATACCACCTGAGTTGATCATTAATACCACCACGAGTGACCAGCTGTACCGTTTGAGCTGATCGCTAGCAGCACCAAAGTGCTACACATAGCTCCTCAAGGACTGATGCCAGAAAGTAGCGACGGAGTGACACGCATAAACTGAAGCTAGTGTGTAGAACGAGTGAGTGGTGGTGAGTGGCACCTGTGGAAACGAATGTGTTGAAAAGCGGGAGAAGCTCCATGTCTGTTGTAACGAACCAGAGGAGGTGTGACCGATCCCTTTGGTCCTGTTTTGTAATATGATGCTGTCAGGCTATTAGAATTTTTGGAAGAAAACAGTAATAAAGGAGAATTACAAAAATCAAAAGAGACAGAAAGAGGAGGCAAACCTCTCTTCTCTTTTGTTATCACTGACAGGAGAGAGAGGATAACTAAGAATTATGAATACAGTATTTTGTAAGCAAAATAATGGCTCTTGAAGCTTTTCAGAGAAACTATTGGAACTGTCCGTCTGCACCAGGAGCTACATACACTGAAAGGATGAACTGTGTGTGTGTATTTTTTTTTAAACTAAGTATTTCAGTGTGTGTGTATGTGTATTGAAGTATGTGAACTAGGCCGCACTGGGGAATGATCCCATGTTTCTCTTCCAGGTTACGTGGGCTGGCAACAACGGGGTAGCGAGGTGGCTGTATTCTTTTATTAGTACACAATCCTGCGTTCGGTGTTTACTTATTTCGGTTTTGAGACTTAAAATGGAGCCTATTTTCTGCTTGAGAAGCACCAGTCGATTTGATTCCTTTGTAATGCCTAAAACGAACATTCAGTAAGCTGTAGTTTTTTAGTGCGTAGATGGTTACCATCAACAGTTCAAAATTTACCACGTTATTGTGCTTTATTCACCGTGTAAATCTATAATGAGCAGGCACGAGGAGACCTTCAGAGAGCGGTTGTAGACACTTCTTGTCTAACTAGTCTTAACCATCCATCCACTCGATGATTTGTATTGTTGATATTACCCTCTAGTAAGTACAAATGGCTCACTTCATTCTTAAATTTAGATATAGAAAAGTTGCTTTTGTTGGTACAAGCATCGCTGCACAAACTTTGTGACTTGAAATGTATGCATTAGTGTATTAGCTTTGCCGTGTGGAATGGAGTGCTTTAGAATAGAATATCTGACTAGCTCGTAGCAGCATTACAATGTGTCGCATCTCATGTCTTTCCTCAACTTGTATAGGTACTACATTAATACTAAGATTTGTCAGCTAATGCTCGAAATATCTTTATATAGAATATAAATATAAATTATTCATAATGATGCACGATAATAAGTTATAATAATACCCATTCGAATTGTTTAATACAAAAATTCATACCCTTTCGCTCGGGCTTTCGCTGTCGCCAGAACGATACTCGGCGTCATGTACAGATTAATTGACACTTGTGGAGCCGAGAACAGCTTCGAGTGACTGACTAGTGTGTTGCTTCACTGGTCACTATACTCTACTGTGTACCTTGAAGTGTTGTTTTGTTTTGACTTTTGCGTAGCATCGATTCTTACCCCCAGTGCGGCCGAGGGCAGTAATGGAGTGTACTGTACTACACCATCGCTTAACTATGACTTGTGATTGTGATATTCGGAAGTCTCTGCCAATATATAACTCGGTAATTCCTTGCGTTGTTTCAGTAGTTCGAAATAAACGTTAGAGGAAAAGATGTAGTTTGTATTGGAAGCCATTTTGTATTGTGTATTCTGCAGCTGTATGATAGCCTTTGTATATACGCTTGTATGTAACGAAATCTTGTATTTACTTTGATAAGGAGTTCTGTCATAGGATTATCAGTATTTCGTCTAGCGTCTTTGAATCACCTGCGGGCTCTGGGAGGGTCATAACCGGGGGTTTTAGTCTTGCATTTGGCCAGACCTGCACACAGTTTTGTTTTTTCGATTAACCTCGTCTGTAGAGATTTTCTCAGTTTCTTCATTTTATTTTATTCTCGATGTTTTTTCTTGGATTTATTGTGGAAACTTCAATCGAGTTCTTTAGTTTATCTGCTCTGCTGTAGGTTTTTTTTATATAGTCTACTAATCCCACCTTCAAAAGTCCTCTTGAAGATTTGACCTTACATCTTTACCCAGATAAATTGGCTCAGTCCATTTGTAGGATGACTTCGTAACACTTATGTTTGGTACTCACATTGCACATTGTATCCCTTCATCTCCCTAACCATAATATTTCGCATCACTTAAACTGAACGAATCACCCGCTAAATATTACAGTCAGTCAAAGATGAACCCAGCAGCTTCAGCTTAATATTACAATTATTAACATTATCTTTTTTGTTGACTTTGTGGTCGTGTTTGAAGTGTGATGTAGAAGTCATAATCCTATTTTAATGATAGTATTGTTTATAGTTCTGCCTCAAAGTATCGTGTTGATAAGTAATATTTAGTTAACTGTCTCTTAAAAGCAGAAAAATTTTATAAGTGGCCACAACCAAACGTTTCAATTCCTTTAGACCAGAGGTCACCAAACTACGGCCCGCGGGCCGGATCCCAAGTCCTTCCCCGGCTCGTGGGAGCTCCGCCTACGCTCTGACGTTACCAGAGCTTTCGTTCTGGCTTGCAAGTATTGAACAGAATGATTATGCGGCCCGCGCTCGTCATTCTTTCAGTTATCCGGCCCACTGTGAAAAAAGTTTGGTGACCCCTGCTTTAGACTAAAGACTCAGCCAACAGGATCTCCCCCCTTGCTTAATCAGTAGTGCGTACAGTCAAAGAAAAAAGGCGCTTTACACTTACCGTGCTTAATGTTCTGAAACCTAAGACGAAGAATTTTGGTTCAGACTTGAACCTTAAAGCTTCGTTGTCACTTTACCAAAATTCTTCGTCATTGATTTCGGAACAAAACGCTACGGGGTGTAAGACGGCGACTTTTTTCTGTGAACAAAGATAACTTGTCACTACAAGAAAGTAACAAACATAGTGTTACCCCATCTCTCATAGCCTCGTATTACCACTCATCTCCACTCTGTATAAATACATTTCCCTTTTCACTAATTCCATCAATGTTCATCTTACACCAGATCATTTTGACAATACATATTCAACCTCAGGTGTTAACAGTTGAGGGAAATGTTCCTCGCAGTTTATGCCAATTGCTGTTTTTAGCTTCCTTTATTTGATAAAACATATCTATTGGGGCCGTTTGGTAGCTGCCACCCCTGGAGCCCCTTCTGGTTATTAGACGAAAAAGACTACCTGGTATGTGACTGGAGTGTTGCCATATTGCGTTCCATGTAGGATTCCCTCTGCATGAGTAGTCTGCCTGGCTTAGGCTTGGAGACTTATTTTCATTCACTTACATTGGGAACATCTTTAGAGAGTTTCTGGTTAGATACGTGTGTGTGTTGTTTTATGTTATTAATATGAAATAAATTCTAATTAGTTAAGGATATAACTTATAATTTGATGAATTTAATGATATTAAAAGTGGACCTTTTATATCATTTGAATATCGAGCTGTTGAGAGTCTTTGTCTTACATAAAACGATGCATGCATATTAGCATGAAAAAATCCAGATGTTTTCTTTCTTGATTCTTCGCATTTGAATCCCAAGCAAATACTCCCGATTTAAGCTCAGTTTGACAGTAGAGGGTCGGGCCTTCGCGGGCTCATCAGTGGCTCAGCTTATTCAGTTGCTGTTTTGAAGGAAATACTAAGCTAAGCTGTATTTACATGTGCGCATTTTTGTAGGTTCGACTTCATCGTTCTTCGATCACGGAACCATAAAGTCATAACTGTGACGTCCATAGCATGGAGAATAATAGACTCCTTGATCAGAGAGCAAATAATGCCTTCTCGGGATTTTAGATCCCGCAAAATAACGGAGCAGACCTTGTTTATTGACGTCATATCTCTGATCGAGAATCCACAAGTCACTAATAAGTCTAACCTACACTATCGCCACCTGGATTCTTCCGAACTTGTGTTTACAGTCTTCGAGGGAAGACTCAAGATAGCCCTCGTTTTTGCAAGTCTTTTTATTAATCTTAACATAAAAGAGAGATGTATTAGTCTCGCTCATTCTTGGTGTAAGTTTTGTCATACTTATTTTTACTTCTTTAAGTGTAAGTTCATGCATAAGTCAGTCGAGTAGGCCATATTCTGTAAATATTGTAAAAGTTATTTAATAAAATATCGCTGAAACAAAATCATATTCATTTATGTAATCCTTACTATATATATATATATATATATATATATATATATATATATATATATATATATATATATATATATATATATATATATATATATATATATATATATATATATATATATATATATATATATATATTAACCCCCACTCCCACTTTGTTCCTTCCCTCTATCTTTCGATCTTTCCCTTTTCGTTTTGATGAGAGGAAGAAGAAGAAGAATAATAAGAATAAAAAGGTTTTGATGAGAGGAAGAAGAAGAATAAGGTTTTGATGAGAGGAAGGTTTTAGGGGTAACTATTATATTTCATCATAGAAGACTGTCTTAGGGGTAACTATTATATTTGAACACAGAAAATTGAGATGGTTTTAGGGGTAACTCTTATATTTGATCACAATGCGACCTGGGGTAATTCTAATAATTAATCATTTAATTAGATAGAGTGATACTTTATGCTTTTTGATAATGCTATTAATTAGTAAATATAAAATAGAGTAAGCTGTTAAAAGCTTAGTTGATTATTCCTGTAACTAAAGAAGTAATTACATAAATTCATGTAACTCGTTTAAACTGATGAGTTCCACAATGATATTAGTAAGTCAGGATTTAGGGGGCAGGGTTGGGGACAGGTGGCGAAAATTAACCACCCCTCCAACTTTGTTCCTTCCCTCTATCTTTCGATCTTTCCCTTTTCGTTTTGATGAGAGGAAGAAGAATAATAATAAGAATAAAAAGGTTTTGATGAGAGGAAGAAGAAGAATAAGGTTTTGATGAGAGGAAGGTTTTAGGGGTAACTATTATATTTCATCATAGAAGACTGTCTTAGGGGTAACTATTATATTTGAACACAGAAAATTGAGATGGTTTTAGGGGTAACTCTTATATTTGATCACAATGCGACCTGGGGTAATTCTAATAATTAATCATTTAATTAGATAGAGTGATACTTTATGCTTTTTGATAATGCTATTAATTAGTAAATATAAAATAGAGTAAGCTGTTAAAAGCTTAGTTGATTATTCCTGTAACTAAAGAAGTAATTACATAAATTCATGTAACTCGTTTAAACTGATGAGTTCCACAATGATATTAGTAAGTCAGGATTTAGGGGGCAGGGTTGGGGACAGGTGGCGAAAATTAACCACCCCTCCAACTTTGTTCCTTCCCTCTATCTTTCGATCTTTCCCTTTTCGTTTTGATGAGAGAAGAAGAAGAATAATAATAAGAATAAAAAGGTTTTGATGAGAGGAAGAAGAAGAATAAGGTTTTGATGAGAGGAAGGTTTTAGGGGTAACTATTATATTTCATCATAGAAGACTGTCTTAGGGGTAACTATTATATTTGAACACAGAAAATTGAGATGGTTTTAGGGGTAACTCTTATATTTGATCACAATGCGACCTGGGGTAATTCTAATAATTAATCATTTAATTAGATAGAGTGATACTTTATGCTTTTTGATAATGCTATTAATTAGTAAATATAAAATAGAGTAAGCTGTTAAAAGCTTAGTTGATTATTCCTGTAACTAAAGAAGTAATTACATAAATTCATGTAACTCGTTTAAACTGATGAGTTCCACAATGATATTAGTAAGTCAGGATTTAGGGGGCAGGGTTGGGGACAGGTGGCGAAAATTAACCACCCCTCCAACTTTGTTCCTTCCCTCTATCTTTCGATCTTTCCCTTTTCGTTTTGATGAGAGGAAGAAGAAGAAGAGAGAATCTTTTGATTATTCCTGTAATAAAGAAGAAAGGATGAGAATGATATTAGTAAGTCAGGATTTAAGAAGAAGGTTTTGATGAGAGGAAGAAGAAGAATAATAATAAGAATAAAAAGGTTTTGATGAGAGGAAGAAGAAGAATAAGGTTTTGATGAGAGGAAGGTTTTAGGGGTAACTATTATATTTCTTAGGGGTAACATAGAAAAATTGAGATGGTTTTAGGGGTAACTCTTATATTTGATCACAATGCGACCTGGGGTAATTCTAATAATTAATCATTTAATTAGATAGAGTGATACTTTATGCTTTTTGATAATGCTATTAATTAGTAAATATAAAATAGAGTAAGCTGTTAAAAGCTTAGTTGATTATTCCTGTAACTAAAGAAGTAATTACATAAATTCATGTAACTCGTTTAAACTGATGAGTTCCACAATGATATTAGTAAGTCAGGATTTAGGGGGCAGGGTTGGGGACAGGTGGCGAAAATTAACCACCCCTCCAACTTTGTTCCTTCCCTCTATCTTTCGATCTTTCCCTTTTCGTTTTGATGAGAGGAAGAAGAAGAAGAAGAATAATAAGAATAAAAAGGTTTTGATGAGAGGAAGAAGAAGAATAAGGTTTTGATGAGAGGAAGGTTTTAGGGGTAACTATTATATTTCATCATAGAAGACTGTCTTAGGGGTAACTATTATATTTGAACACAGAAAATTGAGATGGTTTTAGGGGTAACTCTTATATTTGATCACAATGCGACCTGGGGTAATTCTAATAATTAATCATTTAATTAGATAGAGTGATACTTTATGCTTTTTGATAATGCTATTAATTAGTAAATATAAAATAGAGTAAGCTGTTAAAAGCTTAGTTGATTATTCCTGTAACTAAAGAAGTAATTACATAAATTCATGTAACTCGTTTAAACTGATGAGTTCCACAATGATATTAGTAAGTCAGGATTTAGGGGGCAGGGTTGGGGACAGGTGGCGAAAATTAACCACCCCTCCAACTTTGTTCCTTCCCTCTATCTTTCGATCTTTCCCTTTTCGTTTTGATGAGAGGAAGAAGAAGAATAATAATAAGAATAAAAAGGTTTTGATGAGAGGAAGAAGAAGAATAAGGTTTTGATGAGAGGAAGGTTTTAGGGGTAACTATTATATTTCATCATAGAAGACTGTCTTAGGGGTAACTATTATATTTGAACACAGAAAATTGAGATGGTTTTAGGGGTAACTCTTATATTTGATCACAATGCAACCTGGGGTAATTCTAATAATCAATCATTTAATTAGATAGAGTGATACTTTATGCTTTTTGATAATGCTATTAATTAGTAAATATAAAATAGAGTAAGCTGTTAAAAGCTTAGTTGATTATTCCTGTAACTAAAGAAGTAATTACATAAATTCATGTAACTCGTTTAAACTGATGAGTTCCACAATGATATTAGTAAGTCAGGATTTAGGGGGGAGGGTTGGGGACAGGTGGCGAAAATTAACCACCCCTCCAACTTTGTTCCTTCCCTCTATCTTTCGATCTTTCCCTTTTCGTTTTGATGAGAGGAAGAAGAAGAATAAGGTTTTGATGAGAGGAAGGTTTTAGGGGTAACTATTATATTTCATCACTAGTTTCCTGTGAAAGTTTATTTTATAATATCATTGCATTAATTAGTAAATATAAAATAGATTATGGTATTAAAATTTAATTATTATTACTGTAATTAATCATTTAATTACATAAATTCATGTAACTCGTTTAAAATGATGGCATCCAAAAGTACTTCAGAAAAGTAGGCTTCAGGGGAACACCCTGTTCCCTCGAGCTCGAGCGACCTCTCAGTGCAGCCTTCACCACAACCAATCAAATTGTCTCTGCTAGGTGGATAGCCCACCTGCTCTTATTCTCTAGTACTTTCCTTCTACCTTACCTCTTCTCTCCCTTCCCATGGCAAGCCATTGCCATTTTATCTCTATCATCATCGGAACAGGGTTGGGGACATGGGCCATAAAATATAATAAATATTGATCTCAGATAATTTTTTTTTCTATTAAACTTACTTATATATTGACAGTCTTGGTCTGTCCTTCACTGTCGACAACAGTATTGAAGTCGTTAGGTTTGTTGGTGATATAGAGAGATGAACGCATTAGCTCTGAGGGTGCAGTACAAGGCGGTCTCAGTCAAGCCAAGTTATTCTATTTGATGTTTTCTTGGGGCTTTTTATGTTAGGGTAGTCCCACCATGATCCTTGTGTCATTAGAAGGATGATACCCATTCTTTTTTGTTTCTATTTTTTACTCAGTTAAATCAGTCGTTGTAAACAAGGAAATAAATCACTACAGATCGGTAAAGAGGTTTCCGTGATTCTCGTGCGGACACACATACACACAAACAAACACACAAACAAACACACACAGACATACTTCTTTGTTTTATATATGTATATATATATATATACATCAATAGAAAATACATGTTTTGACAGGTATAATGGGACAAGTGAGACTACACAGGCCTACTTCAACCAATTTCCCTCCTGAAGGGGGAACTGACTTTACATTATTTGGATATTCTTCCTTAAAATATCTCAGAAATGGCCAAGATACATACGTCTTCATCTGAAGTCTGAACAGGAGGCACCAGGAACTTGGCTCATTGTGCATACATGAGGTCAGTGAGGTAGGTCCTGTTTCTTCACTCCACACTTGTAACTTCCAACCTTGACATACAAAAATGTTCCTCCGTTCCTTTAGTGTATAGTTTTCAGGCCTTTTGATATATAATATATAATATATAATATATATATACAGTAGTGTATACAGACAAGATATTACAAAAACTAAACAAAACACATAACCATAAAATTTAACATAACTGATGAACTAATAGTAAGGAGTACTGCATAGAACATTTCTTGTAATGTATTCATAGTTCAATAGTATCTAAGATGTGGGTCAAGAGCCCCATATTCTTCAACAATATCTGTAAGTAAAGAAAAAAAAGGAATAGGCTTAACATTTAGAATGAGTGTTAAATGCTTTCGGTTTCCTACTTGGAAATTAAACATTAATACTTATACAAACTGTGTTGCAATGAGGCATACAATAGAAATCACAGATGCTAATTTTTTTAATATATCATGCATCAGATACAGTAAAGGTATGACAATCCTCTTGTGATACCTGTAAATGCTAGAACTGTGCAACTTGAAGAAATAATTATGCTAACTAGGTAACACTCTAAGAAGCTGCATCTCCTCATAAAAAATCAGATTTATATTTTCACAGCCTGTATCTACCTCTGGGTGAAGTCTTCCTATCAAGCCTCACACCAGACTAATTCAATACAATATGCTTGCTTGTTTACATTTACTGTACTTTTTATCACAACAATAATATATATACATTTTGTTTCAAGAGCATATAAACATTTCAAGACAAACATGGGAATACTATAAACAAAATCAATCTTTTTACATTATTATGAGCCATCTCATTACATAAATTATAAAAAAATATTGTGAACACAATACAGTACTGTCCTACTGTCCTAAAAATGACTCTACCTTGGAAATAACACAGTACAATGTTTCTTTTGTCTTAAATATATAAAATATGAAGTGTTACCTGCAAACTACTGATTGAAACATATGTCAATCTCAAATATATATATATATACATATATATATATATATATATATATATATATATATATATATATATATATATATATATATATATATATATATATATATATATATATATATATATATATATATATATTCATTAACTAAAACAGACTTACAAGAAATAGTTGATCGCAAACATAAATACATGCATAAAGTCTTACGTTTGGCACAAATAATGAGGATAATTAGGGTTAAAAGAACAACCAGAGGAACAAAAACAACTACTGCATGTTTTTTTATAACAAGGTATTCAGGTAATACAAGAAAGGAATGAAACCCTTTTAAACGTACAAAAGTTATCCTTTAAAATATTAGTAACTAAAACAAACAAAAATGAAATAAAATCACTATAGATCAGTCCGAGGTGGCACTTCTGTTATTAGGTACATTCAAGTTGCTGTCGGTTTCTGGGATCTCACTCTCTGAGACATCTTGGTCTTGAACATCACTGTGAGTATCAGGTGTGGCTGTATCACCTCTCTCTATGATGGATGCCACCTCAGTCTGGGAGTGTGAACCCAAGCTTTCTGAGCCTTCAGAGGGTGATGCAGGGCCACTAGCCTCTCCAGAGAGGCCTTCTGAAGCACCTGCTTCTGCCTCTCCGGCAATCAGCTCTGCTACACTACTGTGCTCAATAGTGAAGCCTACTAGATTCTGGTTGCAACCAGGAGTGGTGCTGTTGGTTAGTTGTGATATGAGTCTAGAAGCAGCAGCAGCCACATCAGTGAGAGAAGCATCTCCACCACTTTTAGTAGGTACAGCAGTGGTAGCAACACAGTTGGTGGCAGTGGAGGAAGTTTTGGTGTTGGACAAATAATTTTGGGTGTGTTCACAAGTACAAGTAGTAATTAAGCTAGTGGTGGCAACTGTGGTAATGGTGGTAGTTAAAGGAGTAATGGGACTGAGGAACTGTGGTGATGGTGGTGGCATGTAGGTGTCGTAGCGGTGCAGGTGTGAGAAGAACTCCAATGTGTTGATGTTGGGGGAGGAGGGGCCAGAAGACGAGACGAAGGATGGAGGCCCAGACCAGCCAATACCTGGGGGGAGAAGGAGCAGGACAAATGCTCACACAGAATCCTTCACTGCCGCTATTGGGCAACAAAATGGAGGTAAAGTACTTGCAATTGCCCAGCAAAAGGGCACTGATCACTACTGCTAATAACAAGTTCACATATGCTGACTGTTTAAACCATGCACTGGTATCTCATATATTGATAGTGAGAACCTTAATTCTTCAAAGTTAGATAGAATATATGAATTAAATTTTTACATGGGACATTATTAATTGTCTGACACTAAATACAATACCAAACCAAAATTAAAGCTACTGGACACTAAGTTGATATTTTTTGTATTTTTGCATGTAAATATTGTGTCATATACTGTATACAGTATATTATCTTGTATGTGTGTATGCAAATTTATGGAATCATATCTCTGTGCACAGTTTCTGCACAGTGATTTTAATTTGGAAAAATAGGGACTCGTTAAATTTAAGACATACTTTTTTTCAATTTGTTAAGACACTAATCATGAATTCTTTCCTCCTTACATAACAGGGCGAACACTTGCCACAACATCGGGGATATGTTCCAGAGAAAAGTGACTTATAATGAAACATTTTATAATGAGGAATTTTTCCCCATAAGAATTAATGTAATTAGGGGCTTTTCGGGCAATGTGTGTTCCAACATGTACAGTAATCCTCCTTGAAATCTCAGCAAATCTCCTTATAATGGGATCATTATAACATACTGTACTGTATAGTATTTGATAAGGAGATACATTCCTAAAAACATCATTTGTTACTTAGACAACTGATTAATGTGTAAATGCACTACAGTATTATTTATTGAGTGCTGATAAATGCACTACAATATTATTAACTAAGTGTTGAAGACAGTTGTTTTGGTAAGTACCAGCCATCTTGAGCAGTGACAGTAGAGATGCATGAGAGAAGTAGAGCATTGGCAACACCGATCAGCCTTGCAAACAGGCACCAGGAATTAACAATTAATTTATGATAAAATTTTATGAACACGGTACCAAATGAACGCAAATTATTTGAGAATTATGGTGAAATTGCATACTGTCATGTTAATGGGGTCAAAGATGGAGTTGTCCAACCAGCCACACATAACCACCCATAACTTTCATGGTTTCTTATGTAACAATGGCACGAGCACATCCTTCTCACAGCTAACAAGCGTCTGTATGTTATGGTGATTTCTAGACTCAATATTTTCCCAAACACAATATAGCCCTACACTCCTAGTTTTTTCTTATCTTATATCTTTATATTACTGTACAGTACAGTATACAGTATTTTTTTATTCATCTGGCACACTAGTACAGTACATTGAAATGACTTTTCCGCAAATTCTGTGGTTATGTAACACATAATAATGGCATTAGTGCTCAGTCATGTGAGAAGTCACTCACGTATTTTGGCGTGGTGGAAACTTAGTACTTGTAAAGGAGTTTTATCTTGCAATAATCCTGCTTTTAATCCCTATACTGTACTGTACCGTATATATGGTACTCAAGTACAGTGTGAATTTTTATGATCAAACTTTTATGCAAAAGGTAAGGAGTCAAACTTTATATTCATAGTATTTTTGAGAGGTTAAAATTCATGCATTTCCATTGATCATGTATGGCGAATGATAACCACCCGGTACATGCTTGCAGTAGATTAACCTTACCAGTAAGCTAGCTCCTTTATGCTGAGATTTCCTGCCATACCCCAGATTCTTTCTTTATATTGCTACACGAAGAACAGAACCCAATTCACTGTATATGCCACTTTAAATCTACAAATACCCGATACAAATGAAGATTTACAGATAATTTTCTTTTCATTTGCATCTGTTAACATCATTGGTGGCATTGTTGACAAGTTGGACTCATCATTGTAGCTACATCCCCCTTGCCCTCTTGCTACCAGGCCGAGCTGTGAGGTGTTATGGCTATTTTTCAACTCGTAATTTTGGATATATATAAGTAACTTTTTTCATCCTTTTTTTTCTCAGTTTCATGCACACACAATCCGACATACATATTGTCAAACAAAGAAAGGGAATAAACATTTCTTTGTGCACAAGTTAGCGGGCTGAGCAGTGGAGTGGGAGGAGTGACTATTGTGGAGGGGGCCTGTTGTTAGGGCAGAGGCAGCATTCCAACTGGGCTGCAGTGCCATGGTTTTAGCTACATTTTCTTCACCTAGATTGTGTAAAAATGTTTTTTGAAGTAGTATAATTGTTAAATAAGATAAGAAAGGTAGGGTGTATGGTTTAAGAATGCTGGGAAAGGAGGCACAGGGAATTGTGTGTTTGCTCCAGCTTTTGACTTACTGTATAGGCCATTATTTTACATGATAATATTCCTTACTTGTTTGTCTGTGTTTTACACTAGTTTAGTATTTGTAATAATAGTAACACAAGACTCATCACTATAGTCACATCCCTCCTAGCTCTCTCCCTATCACTCCAGACCAAGCAGTGAGCTATGTTCTGGTTATACATTTCAACTCATAATTTGGGGTTGATGCAGGTAATTTGAAATTTTTTTTATTTTTTACTATGTGACATGCACACTATATATATATATATATATATATATATATATATATATATATATATATATATATATATATATATATATATATATATATATATATATATATATATATATATATATATATATATATATATATATATATATATATATATATATATATATATATATATATATATATATATATATATATATATATAAAACGGCAGACACCGTTGAGTGAGCGTAGGTACTGTGTGACCGTCGCATTCACAATGACCGAGCGAGTAGATCAGTGAATCTGCATCAAGTTTTGTTACAAACTTGAACATTCGTCCGCGGAAACTATTCAAATTATTAAGAAGGCTTTCGGGGATGATTCAATGAGTGAAGCCCAGATAGTGGTACAAACGCTTCAAAGATGGCCGGGAATCCGTTGAAAGTGATCCACGTTCTGGAAGGCCTTCAACAAGCAGAACACCCAAAAATGTTGAACGTGTGCGGGCTGCAATCAATGAAAATCGGCGATTGACAGTGTGAGAATTAGAAGAAGATCTAAGGATTCCACAAACTAGTGTTTCAGAGATTTTGACGTAAGATCTTGGCATGAAACACATGGCGGCAAAATTCGTTCCGCGGCTCCTGTCACGAGAGCAGAAGGAATTTCGTGCAAAAGTTGCAGAGGACTTGCTTCAAACCGCTAACAATGACCCACATTTCCTCAAACAGTGATCATATTCATGTTTCCCGTTTTATAAATGTTTACAGTATTCATACTTTTTCTCCCTTTTATCAGTGATCACAATCTTTTTCTCTTGTATCAGTGGCTTTATTACCTTAACCTTTTATGTAACTTTTTGGTGTGATTGTTTGAAAATATTAATATTAAGTACAGTCTCTCCTCAACTTACGACGGGGTTCCGTCCCGACGACCAGGTCGTAAGTCGAATTGGTCGTAAGTTGAAAAGGCAAAAATAATACATAGAAATTCTAAAAATGGGTGTCTCTTTTTCGTCTCAGCACCACGAGAACTCTCACTTTTACGCTTGCCAGCCATTTTAAAGGGAATTACAAACGGCGGGACTCAAAAATACGTAATGTGAAAAATATTTTATACGACCATGGCCGTCATAAGTCGAATATGCCATAAATCGAGGGGAGACTGTATAGTTATAAGACAATGTTTGACTAACCCCACATAAGTGATTCATTCTGAGCCTAGTAAATTTGATACATTCATTTATTTATAATTTTATCTGGATCACAACTTTATTTGTTCACGAGTGGAATTTATTGTTAACGTTCTTGTTTAATCTTAGTTTTGAGTGATTTAAGAGTTTAGTATTTCCTTTCACATATTTAATTAGTTAGCCACAGACTTTATCCCGTGATAATACACACAAATTTTTTTTCTTAAATATTCCCCGCTGAAATGGGAGACGTATCTTATACGTAGTACTTGTATGCCGTAAAATACGGTAACTTTCAGGTTCTGAACAATCGCCCTAAGAACTTGTCCCTCAATCCCAAACCTGTTCATTAACTAGGGTGTTCCTGTACAAAGAGTTTATCTTTAAAATAACAGTGTTATTAATTGTATTAGTACAGCTAAAAACTTGCAGCCCAATTAATACAAAAAAAAACAGCCAAAAATGTTGTGAATGGTATGGGTTCCAGATGTGTATATTTCTACAACATTTTGCTCACTGTTATCTGGACTGTACTAAACATGTCACTGAAAATTTTATAGTTTTGGATAATTATTTATTTTACTGCTGACTCTAGCAACACCCCCCCTCCAAACTTTGCTCCCTCCTCCTACTCCACTACTAACTTGTGAGCAAACAAATATTTATTCCCTTTATTGTAAGTGTTTAACCTTATTTCTTTTACTTTTATTTTTACACGATATGTATGTAGGATTGTGTGTGCATGTAACTGAGTAAAAAAAAAGCTCTGTATATCTAACCAAAATTAAGAGTTAAATAATAATCAGCCTGCTAACTCTGGCTGGCCTGCAAAGAATTGTTTATTCCCTTTATGTTTTGACCTTATGATAATTATTTCTCGTATATTTATTTTATTTTTTTTGCACATTTTGTAAGAAGGATTTGCCAGAATAAAAAAAAAACAATGAAGGAAGTTACATAAATCTACCTGAAATTACAAGTTGAAAAATAACCATAGCACCTCACAGCTAAGCCTGGTAGCTACAGTGATGAGTCTAACTCGGTAACAATGCCACCAGAGGTGATAAGAGATGCAAATGTGAAAAGCAATTTATATATAATTATTCATTTGTATCAGATATTTGTAGATTTCAAGATAAATGTTGCAGGTAAGACATTAATAGACAGTAACACATGTAAGAGTTCCAAAACTGTTACTGCTCAGCTCTGAAGAGTTGGGAGCCATACGGTTGCTAATTGTCTCGGGTAATCATCATTAGTAATTATAAATCCAGCATTTATACTTACAATAATTCTTTTTTTAATAATTAAAAGTAATAATAATTTGATTCAGTAAGCAATAACATATTTTTAACTCTGGAGTTGGGTTAGGTAGAATTTAGCCTATTGAAGACAGCAACTGAGGATTCATCAGCTTACAGAAGACTGCAACTTCACATATAGGATACCGGTGGGTTTTATTTTTTTTTGCCATTTTTCAGACAAAAAGTGCATCTTATATTCCATAAAATATGGTAACCAAGAAACTCATGGCAACAGAGGGTGAAACAAATTCCCTGATTTATTATACTGTACCATCTCTTCTCTTTGAACCAAAAGTCCTTAAAAAATAAAGGGTTGATCCCAAAATGTTGTTTTATTATGGAAATCATAGCCAGGCAATTCTTGTCATACAACCTACTGAACAAGGTGCAGTCGGAAGGATCTGCTAACCCTCTTCGGATATACCAGTTACCCCTCTCTCTCCCCATCATACTCTCCCAGTATTTTGGTTAACTTCATGCAAAAGTTGATCTCTGGGAGCAGGACTTTAAGGTAATTTGAGTGCCAACTTGAGTGCATTTGAGAGTGCAAATTGGGTGTGTACAGGTACAGTATACAGGGTACTCTCGATTTAACATAATCCGAAATAACGAACTCAGGGGTTCAGTGATCGTTTTAATTTTTTCTTCTATTATTTCCCCCCCAAAATTAAAATTGATAGCCGCACTCTCTTTACTTTCTCCTCCCCCCTTCCCCCCCCCACCACTTCCTTTCTGAGACTTCTGAGAGACTTTCGGTATGATATCTAAGCACAGCAGTTAGTTGACCTAGAGGTAGCAGTGAACAACACACGCGGTGGTGGCAGGACACAGACTGAGCGGATGTAAACAAACCCCATGCGCCAAGTGGCGCATTTGGCACGGAATTTAACGGAATTACGCTTGATTTAGTGAACTAGTTCGTTTAATCAAACGAAAATAACGGAAATTAGATTTAGAGGAAATTTTGATTTAACGGAAAGGGGCGGCTTGAATTAGTTAGTTAAATCGAGAAAATACTGAATATGACAACTCAGCGGGCGCTCCTAAGCAATCAGTGAAGTCAAAGATTTTCATCTTCATAACTGCACACCATTCATGAAATGTAAATATTTATTTTTTCAAAGATTATTGAATTCCAAAGCAAAAATTTTCACATTAATGGGGATTATGTACTTTACAAGATTAGATTTCTCTTATACATAAACTTCAACTCTATGGAGTTGTTAAATTTGAGATTCAGGGATTGTTTGTTCTTTAATTTGTTTGTCTCATAGTAAGTATTTCTGTGTATGTTGTCATGTCAGTTTGGTTACAGATAGTGGCCATTCAAAGCACCTATGTGGTAAACCGAATATTACTCTAGTAAACCTAATTATCACAAGTTAGTATATTTGCAAAAGCAGTAAACATATACTTAGGTAACAATAATTCATGCAACAATAAGGCTGCAATGTTAAAAGTGAAGTTAAAGAAGCTCCTGCCTTAAAAATCTCCATGTTGAAAAATAAACTCATTATAAGAGCAAGCACTATTACAAACATACTCACAATTTCATATGAGTATCAATTATCATTATATCTATATAGTACTTACAATTTTGCCTAAGCACTGTCTGTCAAAGACTTGGTGAATTACATCTAGCAATTAAATTGGTTACTATATCACTGTTCTATCTTCAAACTTATGTCAGTATCATTCAACACTAAGGAATCTACAAACATAGTTACATATATTAATATTATACAATTACCAGGTCAACAATTCTATTATTCCTAAGGAGTGTTGTAACTAAGCTCTTAACCTCTTGAGGAAGAAATGCAGAGAATTCTACTTTGGACAACATCTGTGTGAGTACATCACATGAGATATGCATATTAATATACCGTATAACAATCACCATATAAAAAATACTAAGTATTATGGGATCATTTAATAATCAAAGACAAGAATAATATATGTTAAAATGCTATACAGTCAACCCTCGCTTTACGCGGTCCCACTTTACGCGTTTCCACGTTTACGCGGTACCCTGCCGAAACCGGAATGCTCACTTTCCGCGGTGTGTGTACCCTTTTACGCGGCGAGCGGCACGAGCAGGGTGCGCACAAGGTCGCCCAGTCATCAAAACATTACCGAGTTCTTCACCCGCCACCCACCACAGCCGGCCCAAGTCAGTGATAGTGAGGATATGGACTTATATGGACTTTGAGGGGTTTGACAAAGAGGCCCTGCAAGCCTCTGTGGTGGATAGTGATACAATTGATACAAGTGATACAGGTGAGGGCCAATAATCTGCCCTCTGCCTCGGAACCAACCCCCCATCCCCGTGTGCCCAGCCATCTTTTCTACTAATGTAGGTGTTAAAAAACCTAATATTATTGATATTTCTCTTAATTATTAATTGTGTGTGCATACCATCATAAAATTAAGAAGTTAGTTTTACTACAACGTAGGTATTGTGTCTGAAAAAGTGGAGTTTGGGGGTCGGCCCGGTCTCTATTTCAATTAATCCCATATGTTATGTTGTTCACTTTATGCGTTTCTCACTTTACACGGGCCGCCGTGGGTTGAATTAACCACGTAAAGTGAGGGTTCACTGTACTGTACTGTCAGTGCCTCTCTTGCAATAACCTTAAGAAAAAGTTACTTGTACAAAATAAGCATAACCCGTATTTGTATACTCAAGTCAATGTAAAATATATAATGCAGATAAATTAAGGTATACTGATGGAAGTTGCCGACATTGTTAAAATCTACAAAATTTGAGCCTTCCAACAAGCAATTCTAAATTAATTTGTTACTTTACAGGCATACAGAAAAACAATCTAAAAAAAGTAGAAAAAGGAAAAAGTATAAATGCTCAGTCTTATTTTGCAAAACAAATTATTTACTCATATGATTAGTTCATAACTATTCAACTACCCTTACAACAATATCCCATGCTTTAAATTATAAGAGAGTACTGTACTTGGATCTTGTGAATAAATAGTTGATAAGTATATAAAGATATCCACTTACGATGATGCTGATTAGAATGTTGGACTTAATAAACAGTTTATTCATTACTACAGTACCAGTTAATAACAAAGCATCCTTTTACTTGAGGAGCATCATTCCCTAAAGGTTAAAATATTTTCTATATTATTTCCAGAGAGGAGTCTCGTGACCACTTACTAGATGATGGAGACTGAAGACCTAGTGGTGGAGGCTGTGAACGTGGGTGTCTTGGGGTTGAAGGCATCTTTGGAGGGGAGGAAAGAGGAGTACGAAATTGTGCTAAAGCCATCCGCTCTAGGAAAGAATCCAATTGGCGTAGAGAGAGGGCATTATGTAATGTTTCCAGTGGGCGAATAGATGGTACTCCACCAAGGGCATCAAGATCTGAAAATGGAAGTGTGTACATTTCAGCAATGTATATAAGATTCAGTCACAAGGTGTGAATGATTACAGAGGTAGGTTTTGTGTTGGAAAGTAAAGAACAGTAAATATTACAAAAAAAAATCGTATTAAAGAATTAAAAGAAACAGTATACAACTTCTGCATAAAATAAAATAAAATATATATGTATTATACTAGAAAAAAGGTTAAAACAAAATTTGCAAACTAAATTACAGTGTTTATTTATGGAAGTCTGTTGGTATATTATTACCTCTGAGATGAGCAATATAATCATAAGTCTGTGTACTATCAGTCTTGAATATAATAAGAATATGCAGTGAATGCTCAGGTGACTCATCAAACACATAAAAACAATATTAATCTAAAAACTATGAAAGCGGCTTAGAAAAACAGGCATAACTCAAGCTAGGATTCAAGGGAGGGATGGGTTATAGATATTTATGACTAAAGTGGGATTTTAGACATAATTTGCTAGAATGTCATGACTTCACTCAATGGTACCTGTATAGCCATCAAACATTCCTGGGTCTACCATACCAAGGCAGATTAAACAAAGCATTGGTTAAAACCACTACATAGTATATTGTCAGCATAAAAAGGGCCATTAAAACAAAATTAATAAAACACGTGTCCTATCAAAGACCTAAGGGGCAATTCATTACGATATAAAGTACTGTAAAGATATATTTTTTATTAAAAACCCATGGCTCAAAGATTGGGTGTAGGTGCAAGAATGCAGTGAGTATACATCTAAGGCATCAGAAAATGTATGCTTTAGAATTTGATTAAGGTGTAATAAGAAAGGCATCCAGCCATTAAATTTGCTTCAAATTGACCTGTTGGCAGGACACCATGCCATTGGATAATCACAACTAACCAATACAAACATGAAAAATGGCTGTAAAATATTGATGATGACAAGACTTACTGGGCATTGCAACCAGTTAATTCATTCAGGCAAGCATTAGGTCAAGAATATCATCAACTTTTATGTGTGTTGATGACACAATCATCCTACTCAAGAAGGGCAAAATACAAAGAAAATGTTTATGCAGGTTACTGTATTTGTAGTTATTGTGAACATAGTATAAATATTTTGTGTTTTACTTATTAGTTTTTTATACTCACTGTTATACCTACCGGTGTAGTGAACCATACAGGAATATAAAATAACTGCATTTATTATACATTTACTTCTATAAAGGCTTAAACACCTAATGGAAATTACACAGTATGTACCTGAAACATAAATATTACAACACTTACAGTACAGTACAGTACAGTACACGCACGCACGCACGCACGCACGCACGCACGCACCCACCCACACACCCACACACACACACTACTACTACTACTACTACTACTACTACTACTTTGCTGTAACTAGGAATCAAGTATGACGATCATCCAGCTATGATAAAATGATATGGGTTATAAAGGATGTCACCTTCATTGGTGAGCTCTGAGATCACTAGAGAGGCCGATACGGGACCGGCAGGGTCGTCCACAGATGTTGTACATGTGGGGGGCTACATCTAGTATGGGAGGGGCAGAGGCAGCATCATTCTGGAGTTGGCACTTGTCTGCCTTGGTATGCAGTCGGGCTAAATCGAAAGTATTGACACCTTCTTGTGTGGTGATCCTCCAAGTGTTACGGCGTGGAGTATTCGTCTCCCAGGTGAGGGGGTTGATTTAGCACTTTTTTAGGTTTGTCTTAAGACTATCCTTATACCTTTTCAGTTGGCCGCCGGCATTATGTTTACTATTCGTAAGGTGACTGTAAAGTAGCTGCTTTGACAGTTTACTGTCATCCATGATGGTAACATGGCCAGTCCAACGTAGTTGTTCATGGATAATGGTAGCCTCGATGCTCCTACAGTTAGTGCCAGCAAGAATACTGGCATTTGTTCTCGTCTTCCCAGCGAACTCGGAGGATGGAGCGTAGACTACGTTGGTGAAAGTTTTCAAGTGTCTTGAGGTGCCTCCTGTATGTGACCCATGTCTCCCTGCCATATAGCAGGGTGGGGAGGACCACTGTTTGATATATGTGCAACTTTGTAGATAATTTCAACTCCCTACAGCTGGAGACACGGGTACGGAGTCTGCCAAGGGATTGAGATGCACATCTGATCCGAAGATGAATCTCTTCATCGATGTCTACGGTGGTGGACAGGTGGAAGCTGAGATACCAAATGTGGGTAACATTAGAGAGGGTAGTAATGTTAAGCTGGATGGGTGGTGGAGGTGTGGTTTAACCAGGGGCAGGCTGGAAGAGAATCTGAGTCTTACATACATTCACCTCAAGGCTTCACTCGTTGGCCGGAAGTGGTACCCATCACCGAGATCACAGCACAAGAAGTGGCCAAGGCCTTCATCTCAGGTGGGGTTGCTCACTTTGGGGTGCCCTCAACTGTGACGGCCAATAGAGACCGGCAATTCGAATCCGAGCTTTGGCATCAACTGATGAAACTGCTTGGCTCTTTCCACATCCGCACCACCGCTTACCACCCAGCAAGCAACGGGCTAGTCGAGCGGTTTCACCGCCCGCCATCATGGCCCAGTCAGCTCGCAGACTGGTTCGTACGTGGAGACACTCTGCGACTGTATCCGGTCCCTGCGTCTTACACCACCAAGGCAGAGCCCTCAGAAACAGGTTTTCATCGACAAGGCAACACATGTTTTCATATGACGTATGGTACATGGACCGCCACTGCAATGGGGGCCCCCTATGATGGTCCCTTCAGGGTGCTCCACCGGTCGTTTAAGTTGTTTACGATTGACCGCCAAGGGGTTCGGCACACAGTCTCCATCGACCGACTGAAGCCGGCCCAAATTGACGAGGATGCAGATATTCCCGGCCCAAGCATAAACAGACCGACCAACGCTGCCTCAGCAAGCGACGCAGAATGTGCGACTACGCCACCACTACGCTCATGTCTGCGGACGAGGTCCGGCTGTGTGGTACGGCCGCCGCTTCGGTTTCGACACTTCACTTTCCTTACTAGTGATCGTCGGGAGGGGGCCGATGTAGCGATTGAAGAATAATATAATGTAATGTAATTATGTAATACTGTATAATGCGATGTAATATAGTTAACAGATGCCTATAATTGTTGTAACTAGCCATTCTGCTCTTGTAACTGTTGTTGAGTCGGCTGGCTGACGTGGCTGAACTTGGTTTGAGACTTGAGCTGAGACAGCTTTGTTCAGTCAGCCGGTATATATACTCGTGGGAGGCCTCGGAACGGCCACTCACTCTCGCTCCGTGCTAGAGCACAGTTCTCCTAGCCATGGACCTGTAATAGTGGCATGTCCCTTTGCTGGCTTACAGGAGTCAGGTCTGTGGAACTAATGTTGCCTTCACTGAAGAATTCAATCCAGTTCAAACTAACTAATGGGCCTCTTAAAGAGTTCCTGTATATACCATCTGAGAAAATAAAAGAGAACACAATGAATTCTTGAAAGGGACTACTTTGTGATGACCTCTGAAGGGAAACAGTGACCTCCCAACCAACACTCATAAAGGAATTTTCTGGAATTCTAAATCAGGTCTCACCAGAGAATACTTGTCACTCAGGCTACACACTCACGTCATGTAGATAAAGTTGCTCTAAGACTGTACTGAGTTACTGATTAAGAGACCAGGTTTTTCTCTTTACATATTCTGGGTCTAATTAGCACAAGAATGATAATATATTTAGAACTCAAAATAATAAAAATTTTATAACAAGATGTAAACAAAGGCCAAACCCTTAACATAAGCAAAAAACACAGAAAACTATAACAATCAGCCTTAATATTCCACAACCATTCATTCAACAGAAGAGGTTAAAGAACTTAGCTCTGCCAGGGAAAGTGGTGGCAGCACTAAGTGTGAGTTCTCATTTAAGACCAGACTTTAATAACATTCATACATACTCAGGTACATTCAAGACCCCATACATTCCCAGTACTTTACATCAGAGATCAGACTGACTGCCTGTTGGCTAGTAAGCTGATAAGTGGTTAAAAGGATAAGGAAGTAAGTAGGCATGGAATTGAGGTGGTACTGGGAGGTATTATGTCTGTCACTCAGCCTATAGCTGTGGTGCACATATGCTGGAGTGATATCACTATTTTTTATCTTGTAGCTTTTGTACTTTAAATGGTGTCTTAAGACTGGATATTCCATTCAGGAGCTTGGTTGTGATATCTAAGGATTTCACTGGGTTCCAGCCCAAAGGCTCAGTGCTATTATATTCTTGCTGCTTTGTGGAGAACATTAGGCCATAAATCAATATTAATACTGTATAAGCATGGTACTGATGAAGGTACCTTTTAATTTATCTTATAGTATATAAGGATCATTTAAATCTCTTGTACCATTGAACAAGTAACAAAATATAATGGGACAAATAATGTGTTAAAAAAATAAATATATGGTGGAGTAACCATGGGCACTTACTGGCAGAGAATGGAAGAGCTGAGAAATTATCTCGTAGATCAGGGGCAGATGTTGAACCAGAGATAACTGCAGTAGAAAAAACTGGAACAGCAGCTGCAGCCGCAGCAGCAGCCTTCTGCTGTAGCCCAGCCAGGAAGGTCAGGTAGGAACTTAGATGACCTGGGATACTGTGTCGGTGGCGACGTATGCTTTCTGAGGAATAATGTTATCCCTAGTGAAAATGGTAAACTGATGTTCCCAACAGATGAACATAAATTTATTATGATTTCTATCGTGAAAATCAAGTCCTATTTATAACCTGGTGTCAGGACAAAGAGAACCGTGTACAGTATGCCATCACTTCTATGGATTTAATCTTAATATTAACCATAAACACTAATGCTAAGTACTAATATGTAATTATTATATCTCTCTTGTTGCAACCATTTCCTTCAAAAAGAGAGATTAGAAACAATAATTTCCCTGAAGGTTTGAGGTAAGCAAGTGTTGGTGCTACAGCAGCCTGTATTAGGACCTTCCTTGTAGATTACCTGGGATCTCCAGGAATAAAACTCAATTCACTTATCTTCATTCTAGAAGCAGGTCAGCAACGGGATAGAATCCACCCTAAGCAATGCTACGCATTATTTACTTTCCATTTATGTAGCACTTGGGATAGATACAGCCATGCTGAATAACTCCTGCAATATCTATACAGTACAGTACAGTACTGTATATGTAGTGAAATCCTGCTTTTTTATGTTGTACCAACTGATCATACAAGCTCCTTAAACAACTAGCAATGGTTAGTGGTACCAACCTTTCATGTACACGTACACTGTCTAATAATAATAACAAGTTTTATATAAATGGTTTCAAAGTTAAATGATTGATTCATTAACACCAAACTTCTATATAAACACAATGTGGTTCAGAGTTAAACAATTTAATGAGCAAATGGTGAGCCTAATTCGAACAATTTCAAATTGCATACACCAATAATGAGCAAAAAAAAAAAAAAAAAAAAAAAAATTTAATCGAGAATGTGACATCACACAATTCAGCCAGGCAGTCACCCAGCTGGCACAAAGATGAGTGTGTGTGTGTATGCCATGACGTCACGTGGGTGGGGGAAGCGTCTCTGGGTGGCAAGTCAACGATGCAGTTACAACCCACTATCTCCACACATACTCTCACTTCCCACATATACTGCACACAGCCATGCTCCTCATTTTTAGTATTACCTGTATATAGTTTTATATATGTTCTGTATTTCTAAACCACATTAGGGCCACGTCATCCCAAGTTTTTTCTCCTTCTCAATGAGTCAAGTTATCGTTAAGCTGAAGTTTGACCTAATGTTAAGTGAGAAAGGGTTTGTTATAATAATACCAAATTAACATAAAGTAAATTAACACTAAATGAGGGATACCTTTATAGCCGAGTGCCATAAACCTCAAACACAATCATGAGTCAAATCAGAGACAGCTAAGACAAGTAATGTGTCATACATCTCGGAAAACTGTACGTACTGTACAAGCAAATAAACAATGAACCCTGTGACTGTTAATAAGTAAGCTTATGACTGTCCACAGACAACAAATGGTTCACTCTGTAAGAGGTGGAGAAGGGAGGATTAGAACTGAATTTTGTATCTATAATAGTGAACAGTTTTTATTTTCAGGTGTTATGAGAGTTTGTAGTTTGGACTCACTGAAAAAACAATTACTGTATAACTCAATAACTAATAGTTTGGTGCTAATTCAATTCCCCTTATTATTAATAATTTTAGCAGAGATGGATTTTGAAACTTAAATTTCTGACCTCAATTCCCATGGGTCTCTAAAACAACCACCACATCTGAATCCAATTTGAATGGGTGAAAAGGCTGCTAAGCATCTAGTTTACAACAAAATGTTATCCTTATGGATTGTGTCACCAAATAGTGCATGCTGTTGTCTATTTTGAAGGATCCATTAACCATACATATGAACTAATTCTTTCAGCAATGTTATATAAAAGTTACTAACAGCAAAATATTAACCACTACATTCCCTCCATCGGATATGCTAATTATATGAATATCTGCAATTACATTGTGGCTCATGCAACTATATAAGTTAACATATAGGGAAACAATCCTGAAGAAGCCCAAGTTGCAATACTCACAACTCTTTGACAGATTATTACTACTGCTTTACATTACTAAAACTAAATAGAGTTATATAAATAATAAGAATGTACATCTCATCTTACCACTTCCAAGACTCCAGTCTTGCATGCACAAAAAATAACAAGTAATTGATTTAAATCTACCAAAGTAAGACAAAAAGGTGCATAAATGAGGGACTGATCCCAAATTCCTATTTTATAAGTGAGTCTGGATTGAGCCTGACAAATGTATTCCTAATTTAAGTCTACAGGCTGAGAACCCAGGCCTATCAACAAGGGTGGCTAGAGCTAAGTGAATAATTATTAGGTAATTAAAAATTTTTCCCTCATAACTATAGCCCCCCAAAAAGTGATTTTGGAGGCATTAATTGCCACTCAAGGCTGAAGGGTAGTGTGTCTGCCCACACATACACTCCATGACTCTTATTTGGCATAGTTACCAGCTGTCAAATCATGGGATCAACCTTTTGTTCCAGCCTAAATGTTAACAAATGGCCAATATTTGTTGAATTTCCTAAAAATGTGTTATTTTTGTATGGTTCTTAGACTGTAGACTTTCCTGGAACTCAATACAGGTATCCCCCACGTTACAGAAACTCAGGTTGCAGAAATTTTCCCATGCGGAATTTGTAATTTATGACCACTAAACTCAGGATACGGCCCGTAAGTTCGATCTTACAAAAATGGGGCTAATTTTCAAAGTTTTCAACACAAAAATCACGATATACAACAACAAAATTTCATACAAATTGTAATTCATTTGGTGTGGATTTCTTGGTATCTGCTACGACCAAGTGTAGGTATGCAGTGTACCCACACTACTGGACAAAGTTTGTCTCTATCTCCCAGTGTGTATGCTTGATCTCTTGACCCCAGCTCTTGGATTAAACACTTACATATGTATCATATTCATGACTGTTCAGTGTATGACCCTTCTTAAAGATGAGTGGAAAGAGGCCATCAAGTACAAGTGAAAGCAGTAGTTCTAATAGAGCCCGCAAAGGAATTATGGGGGATAATAAAACTTGATGTTTTATGGAGATTTGGTGTGGGAGAAAACCTAGCCAGATTGCAAAAGCATTAGGGGTCACTGTTTCCCAATAACTTCCATTGAACCACCTCACCTTACACAGCACTCAACATCATTTGCAGTGAGTTAAATTAAAGTGTTTTGTGTATTTATTACCTTACCATATCATATCATATCATATCATATCATAAAATATGTGTTTTTAAATTTTTTTATTTTCATTCAAAGTCCCATCCCCCTGTACTGTATACATCTTTATACCTGTAATTATCTCTCAATGGCTTTGGTGCAAAACAGTTGACAAAAGGGCCCACATCCTGTCCTAAGGATAGTTGGTTTGTACCCAGGGATCTCCCTGTCCATTAAGGTGTAAATGGGCATCTAACTTTACAGTTGATGAAGTGAAAGTAGTTAACTACAGAAGCATCAACATTGTCTCTTTGTGTACCAGAGCTCAGTATACAGTAGTGTGCTTTATCCACAGTGTCTCCTAACAAGCCATCACACTTATGGGATCCACTTTCACTTTTCAGAATGACTGTTCTGAATAACTTCCCTCTGACACCTCTCACAACTAGTTTTAATCAACGTTTGTCACAAACTTGCTCCTGATAAATGAATGTAACATGTACGAGTTTAATTTAAAAAAGTGAGCAAAAGGCCTATCTGAGATATGTGCTTATTAATACCTGTACCCTTCATAATTATACAATACAGTACATTACTATGTATATACACTAATCCCCACCCTAACAATGGGTGACCTGACATTACATCAGGCCAGGTTAGTAACATGACCCAATATCTCCCACCCAACCTCCATTACAAGTGTCAAAACTTGATGACAGTTGTGTATTACAGTCAGCTGAGTGAAGTGCCTGCCTATTCTAGGCTAAAGATGACAGGATCTGCTGGTGAGTACAATATGTACAATACTGTATAGAAGTACAGTAGTATACATTATTATGTTTACAATATGAACAATAACAAAGCACAGAGTTGACTTGAGGGTAGACTCACATTTTTAATACATTTTTGTTGTCTTGTTTCTGATTATTTGTGAGAGGATTTTCCCATTACAGTATTATTTATTTTATGTTCTTAATATATGTAAAAAAAATAATTGTCCTAAGGGCAAACACAAAGGGAATACGATACACATTTTTTTGTACACGAGTAAAACTGTACCCCCCCCCCGTCAGCAAATGTTATTCGTGGATTTGGCATTTTGAGAACCTAACCCCTGCGAATTTTAAGGGCATGCTGTATAGATAATTAGTAATTTTACATCAAAATTGAATGACAGCTGAGTTAGAAGGTAATCTTTTCCCCCAGACCTCTGCACTGGGAGGAGGTCGGCAGGTAGGCTTAGCCATTACCAAGTTTTCCACAGTTTTTTATTTATTCATTACAGTACTGATACATTATAATAATAAGTATTGTACTGTACAGTATATGAAGAGTACAGGTATTAATAAGCACAAATTATTACAGTGACACGCACATTTCAATTCCGGCTATTGGAGAGTTCCGGTTAAGAGGGATTACGGCTAACAAAGATATAATTGTTTAAAGAAAATACAGTGCCCTGTATAAGGTAAAACTATAAAATAAGAAAAATGAAGAGCATAGGTATGTTATTTTGTATGGGAGGTGAATGTATGTGTGGAGGCAATGGACTGTTTGTCAACAGTGCACTTTGTAACCACCTCTGCTGTAAGTTTAATTTACCCTCTTTGCCATTGACTATCATGTTTGATTTATTTAATTATAAGCTTAACACAATTAGCTATTTTCTCTTATAACATCTGGGTCTGCATCACCAGCCCAGTTGTGTGGTTCCCCCAATGTGATGTCACAGCATACACACAGTGCAGCAGCCATACTTGTCTCTGAGTCAGCTAGGTGGCTGAACTGTGTCACCTCTCTCAGCATCGCATCATCCAGAGGATGGAAGAAGCTATTTCATACACAGAAAATGTATAATATTGTATTTCATGATGTGTTATGAATAATTTTTATTGTTTAGTACAGGATTTTGTGTTTATTAAAATTTTTGTATGCAAAATATAGAATAATGAAGGATTGGAACCTATTCCCATTTATTCCATATTAAATCTACCTCTGAAAACAAAGTTTCAGACAACAAAGTGGATTTTGTGAACATAGCCAATTCATTCCCAGAGGTATACCTGTACTGTAAGTCATTTTAGTTTACAGGTAGTTTAAATGTTTTCATATACTGTACAGTCAACCCTCGCTTTACGCGGTCCCACTTTAAGCGTTTCCATGTTTACGCGGTACCCTGCCGAAACCGGAATGCTCACTTTCCGCGGTGTGTGTACCCTTTTACGCGGAGAGCGGCACGAGCAGGGTGCGCACAAGGTCGCCCAGTCATCAAAACATTTCCGAGTTCTTCACCCGCCACCCACCACAGCCGGCCCAAGTCAGTGATAGTGATAATGATAGTGAGGATATGGACTTATATGGACTTTGAGGGGTTTGACAAAGAGGCCCTGCAAGCCTCTGTGGTGGATAGTGATACAATTGATACAAGTGATACAGATGAGGGCCAATAATCTGCCCTCTGCCTCGGAACCAACCCCCCATCCCCGTGTGCCCAGTCATCTTTTCTATTAATGTAAGTGTTAAAAACCTAATATTATTGATATTTCTCTTAATTATTAATTGTGTGTGCATACCATCATAAAATTAAGAAGTTATTTTTACTACAACGTAGGTATTGTGTCTGAAAAAGTGGAGTTTGGGGGTCGGCCCGGTCTCTATTTCAATTAATCCCATATGTTATGTTGTTCACTTTACGCGGGCCGCCGTGGGTTGAATTAACCGCGTAAAGTGAGGGTTGACTGTACACTATTATACAAATACTGTATATTCTATTTTGACTTTAGTGAAATGTTTAGAAGTTGGCAAGATTTATATATTTTTCTCTTATGTTTTTTACTCCGAAAATTTGTAGTATATTATCTGTTAACACAACTTTTTGTTTTGTGTCTCAAACTCATTCCATACTTTTCAGAAACCTTTATTGCGAATTTCTGTAACTCAAGATACCATATCTCATGGGATACCTGTACTGAAGAGTTATGTAAGATCATAAATAATAAGAGAATAAATAATGATGTACAGAACCCTAACTGTGCTGTCCAGAATTTAAAATTGGCGCAATCCTTGAGTTCCACAGTATTGGCAAAAAAAAAATTATTATGATAATAGTTCTTTTGAATACGAATTCATAAATGGCATCTTAAATGACAAATATACATAATGTATAGTACAAACAAGTAGGTACATGAGGAAAATAGCAGGATAAACAAACAAACAAACAAAAGCTATCACCATATAAGGCACAGTGGCTAATGCACAAAGAAAAGTAATGTAATCACTGGGATCAAACATTCTAAACTTACCTTCATCACTGACAGAGTCTAAGCTGGAGCTCCCTGCAGGTTTGGAGTCAAGTCAAAGTCAAGACATGGAATGTAAGGAAGGTGTCAAGACTTTATTAGTTGGGAATAATAGCAATCATACAGAGCAGTCAATTACAATGCCTACAAGACAGAGGAAATTAACACATACATAAGGGTACATGATAAACAAACACAACATTTGAACTTCAAGTAGACAATGTACGTACTCCTAGGTGCTCAAAAAGAATATGTCCTTCAACACTTTATATTTCCTGTTTGTGTAATCACAAATGTCATAAGGTACAACCAAAATATGTAGACAAAATATGTTGTTTTTGGAAGGAAGTCAACCAAGAAAAAACAAAACTGTACAGTACCAGAAATACCTGCGAATTTATGGTAAACAGGATTGAAGTATGAAATCTCATTTTGTGGTCACAGGCCTTGATGAATGACACATGTTTCCAGCACAAATGCACGACATAGCCAGCCTTGTCATTCATAAGACAGCAGCAGATTTTCATCACCATTATCATCAACATTTTCCACGCTTGTGTGGATGATTACCTAATGACAGCTCCCTATGCAACAAAGTCTTTTGCAGACTCTCTCATCAGGTTCTTAGCTCTAATGTCATTTCTTACCTCTCTACATGTCATTCTTGGCCTACCCCTGGCTCTCCTCCCTTCCATAAAGAGATTTAAGCATTGCTTGACCCAATTGTCGTGAACCACCCTTCCCATTGTCCCACTGCTTTTCTTCTTGGGCTGATTCTAAACAGCGAATAGTGATAATGACCTGAGTAGATTCACAAATCAATGGAAACCCCTTAGGATTTAAATCACACCACCATTGGTTTCATAAGACCCGACGCATGAAGCCTCATTCAGTAATGGGCTTGTACGGTCAAGTAATTTTTGTATAGTAGGCAAGAGGAATTGGTTGAGTGCAGAGCTTCTTTCCCCGTCAAGAACTCCCTTGAAGTCTATTTAGAGATGGAAACCTGCCACCGGACCTCAAATCGATTTTATCCAGAAAAGCTGGAGTCATGCAACAGAAGGGTACTGTTAGAGTCAGATAGATGTATATACCTTTTGGAAAAGGGACTGAATGAATGAAAGAGAGTACTCTTCATAATATACTATACTATAATTCCTCCTTCAAACCTCTGGCAAAATTAGTTCCACATTCAGTTCAACATAATAAACTGCTGAGCTGGCTGACCTTAGTAGTCTGAAAAAGGAGGCAACAGCAAAATATATTGTATACAGCAAAATATTAGCCAAATACCACAAGCTTAACAACACTTAGGATAAAAGCAATTCATTGCACAACAATAATGAGCTGGGCATCTAATGTAGTTACCCTGAATGTGGCACAACCATCAACACCTCTGTGTCCCTGGGGGTCATCTAAAATCAGAACATTATAATCTAAGAGGAAGCTGGTCTAAAGATTATTCCAGGACCTGTGAAAAGGCCTAAGAGTAAACCCCAAATGTTTGAATATGTTAGGTAAAATATTTCTTATTGGAGAACTCAAATAAATCTTGTGACTTAGGTACAATGATTATTACAAACACGATAAAAAAAAATCTTAAACCATTCACAATCTTATTCTTCTATTTTAACAATCCAAACCTTTTTTCTTTATGCTCCATTGTGAAGCATAGAAATGCACACAATACCCATTGAACAGCAAGTATGACATGATAGCCTGTTACTTCATGAGAAGAACTCCAGCCAAATCCCAGCAGCTATATCTCCTTGGATAACAAAATACAATTCCATAGAAAAGGATGAATTAATTTAAACTTATAAGTCTAGGTACTCTAGGAGCCACCCTGTGACATGAGTGTGTGGTTTCAGTTGGTACTCCAAACAACTTCAGCCTGAACAAGAGAACTGGATCATCAACATAATCAAACCAAAACTAAAACTCACCTTAATATATAAACAATGCAGAAGGTGTATGGTATAACTGTATATATCTCCGACTGTTAAACACAATTTGGCTCTGTTATAAACTGGACCTCTTCATAAAACAACCTGCTTTTCCTGAAGAGGTACTGTAGCTAGATTGAGAATGGTACTGGAAATTTGAGGTACAGTTGCCTCCACATGAATGTACCATGGCCTAGGAATGTGTGAGAGCACAGTTATGAGATGTGGCAATGCAGTGCCATATTCATGGGGGTGAAACCGTGGATACCATGTTTGCCGGTTCGCTGTAGTTAAGTTCTAGTCACTCAGTTGTGGCTACATAACAATGCTGCATAACAAATATTACAGGGTTCATTTATCTTTTTACCTCCCTTGTATCTTATCACAGATGTTGATGAAATGTATCAGAATGGTGTGAAAGATATTCTAACATCATTTTTATATAAACATAAGGTGTAATATTATAATATAGGTGAGTGTTCTGCTGTGTCTATTGCCAAATAGTGATCCGACAACAAATGTTGTCATAATATATCTGTTTTTCAAAACTGTACAGGAACAGGCCCACAATCCCTTATCTGCAATTCCAAAATCCGAAAAGCTCTGAAAACCGAAAGTTTATCGTGGAGCATCACTCATGTGCACGACATACCCCGAGTGACGCCGAAGCTTGACCCACACAGGTGTGAGGCATCAGTAATGTCTCAGCGCTGCCACCAGCCACACGTGCATCTGGAGCTCTCTGATATTTTTTTGTGATTTTGAGTTTAAGTTCACTGTGAAAATGTCAAAAAGAGCTTCAGATGCCCTTATGGGTAACATTGAGAAGAAGAAAAGGAAGCATCTCTCATTATCGATAGCACAGAAAGTGGAATTATTACAGAAGCTTGATCGTGGTGAGCCTGTGCTGCGTCTTACTAAAGAATATGGTTTGGGAACCACCACCGTATATGACTTAAAGAAACAGAAAGACAAGTTGTTGAAGTTTTATACTGACAGTGATGATCATAAACTAACGAAAATTAGGAAAACATTGCAAAGGGCAAAAAATGAAGATCTTGACCATGTGCTGATTGAGAGGATTCGACAACCAAGAAGTGAACATATGCCACTGACTGGTTTTTTGGTCATGAAACAAGCTAGAATATACCACGAAGAACTGAACATTGAAGGTGAGTGTGAATATTCAGAAGGTTCGTTGCAGAAATATTAATGTGTTTGCTTACGGGGTGCTGCCACAGACCCCCCTAGGGTGTTACCATAATATACGGTGTATGTACCATACTACCGTTCTGAAATCCGAAAAATTACGAATTCCAAAACACATCTGGCCCCTGACAGCACATAAATTTACCATATTTACCTCTTTCCACTGGTTTTATTGTTATCACTTTCATTTTCATTGTAATCGTACATCTTTTTTATTTGCACTCTCATCACTGGCACTACCTTTAAGCTTCTCGTATATATTGGCACACGCAATAAACTATCACCACCGTAACATTGTGAACGAAACAACAACAACTAAAATGGCTGCCGCTTGGCTGGGAATGCTGGGAGTAGTTGGACATTGGTCGAACTAATGGCACCTGCGTTTTTGCACCGAACAGAAATTCAGACATACAGACAGGGAGGGAGGGAATCTGCCCCCCCAATACCTGGCTTGCCCCCCTAAGACCTGGCATGGCCCCCCCCTGGCATGGCCCCCCCCCCTAAGACCTGGCTTGCCCCCTCAAGACCTGGCTTGCCCCTCCCAAGGGCTGTCTTGCTCCCCAAGGAAAGTTGTAATTATATTTCTTTTTCATATATAGACGAATTTTGATTTGGTGAGAACATCTCAATGGTATTTTTACGATGCATAATTAACCAAAATGATAAGTATTCATCTATTTTTATTGTTCCCATTGTCTATCATTTATAAACTGAATAGCAGCATGGAAGTAAGTCATACTACTAGCAGCCACACGGTGAGGATCTCATTACAGCCACGAAAGCAAACTTTGTTAAAATGAGATCTGATAGTGAATATGATCAACTGTATGAGGAAGCAGAGGAGTTTGCAACCAAACTCGGCATAGTTGTTCCTGAGGCAAACACTCGACAGCATGAAGGATCAGCTCGTAGCAAAAGAGTGCAAAGAATATCAAATACTTTGAAAGATTATCTGTCAAACAGCGTCCCTGGGAAGCGTTCAAAACATCTAGAGAATGTTCAGAGAAGCAGCTTAAAAGACCAAGTGAAATCAGAGTTGTACTTCTCAGTAAATGACAGGTGCACAGCTGAATATGATCAGAGGTTTAGCAATAACATTGATCTTCTGCAGTCCATCTCCTCTTTTGATGTTCAATCTAAACAATTCCTTGATAAAGAAAAGCTTGTTTTTTTTTTTTAAACATTGATTCAGTTATGTTATTTTCACAACTGCATTCTGCGAAGGTATTCTTAGATTAGAAGAAACCTGAGGACCTATTTGATGTGTACCAGAATCTAAATGCTTTATCGATTGCTTTTTCTGAAATACAATACTCAATTTGTTACGAATACTATTGGCCTTTCCGGTTACTACCGCGGGCAATGAAAGATTTTTTCAGTGCTAAAACGCGTCAAAGATTACCTGAGAACAAAAATGGGTGATGACCGCCTTTCCAGCCTACTTTTAATGGCTAATGAACAGAAAATGGTTAAATCACTGGATGTGGAAGAACTGGTTGATAATTTTGTTGGACTGAGGCTTCGCCGTTACCCTCTGATGTAAGAACAGCTGTAGACCGAGTATGTCAAAGATGTGTCCTATTCTGAATATTCTGATTTGTTCACTGATGATTTTTTCACTATTTAGTTTTGTCAATATATTAACTGATACAATTATTTGGTCAGTAATTCAAGAGTTGTACTCTTGATGTTGGTAAAGAAAAGTTTGCTTTGCTGGTATCGTTATTGTTCTCTTAAGAAAATATTGGATTTATTTATCACAGTCATTTTACTATACTGTACTCTATCTAATGACAATATAGTAATTAATTATGCAATCAACAAGTCAAAGGTTTGCAAGGTCAATGCCAAATACTATGGAGCAAGATTGTGACCCCTACTCTTTGCATGTAATGGTGTTGCCCCCCCAAAGCAAAATCTGAAATGACGCTGCTGTCTTCAGCATTGATGTGTGGCCACACAAAACAGGTAATCTCACCCTTTCACACCCATTTTTTCAGCCCTGACTACGGTGTTGCATTACCACATCTCATAACCAAGCCCTCACACACACTCCCAGGATGTGGTATGTTCATGGGGAGGCAACTGTACACTCGCACCAAAAAGTATCGGTGCAGGGTGAGATCGACGACTCCCGAAACGATACATATACACTGTGATATGTCGGGAAGGTTGGTAAGTGTATCCTCATAACCCCGCCCCCTACTAGGTGTTGCCATATGGCTGACAACCAGGGCTGCCAACATACGGCTGGAACAACTCGCCTTTCCCAATACCTATCGTCACTGGTCTCAAATTGTTCACACTACAGTATGCACCGATACTTTTTTTTGCGAGTGCACATGCTGTAGCTGACACTGGACATGGTCAACAGTCAATGTAGAGGGTTCAAACCTAGTCTGAAACCTTGGACTTGATGGTATGTCATACATGAGCCTCACTAGATCAATGCCATGTTATAAAATGGATTTCATACTTCAATTATACATTTATTATCACACTGTATATAAGACTGTCAAATGACACTTTTCATACACAGTACAGTACCATGGTAACACCGGTAAAAATTCCTGGAAAAAAACACAGCGTTAACCTGGATAATGTGTCTAGATATTATCATCTCTAAACAACAGAAATGATGGAGAAATACTTGTAAATGTGAAAACTTAAAACTTACCTTTCTCTGCCTTAGGAGTATGATCCGTGTTAAGGCTGTTCTCAGTCTCCAAAGAACGAGGCCGTGTTAGGGATTCAGATGTGGAGATGGAACGCTGGTAAGATGATGTTCCATCAGACAATGACCTGCCCATTGAAGTATAACAGTTTAGTGAACCTGTATTATTACCAATCTTTTTATTCTGTTGACTTCAGGGAAATATACATTTTACAGATAAAAATGAACAGAAATTCGTATTGTAAGAGTTTGGGATACTTTATCCATATCATTATGACATTTAAATTCTAGAACATCTAATACTTATCTTAGTATCAATTAATAAAATTAAAAATCCATGAAAATTCAGTGAAAGTAATTAAAAAATACTTTCTGAAATGGATGTTACAGGTGATGAATAAATAACAATGAAAATACTTTGATATAATTATGTAATAAGTTAGCAAAATAGTTTCTAAACTAAGTGGGCAGGTGAGTGTTCTGTGTACGTTTGCATGAGTAAGAGCATGTTTGGGGTCTCTGTATACAAACTTGCTTGTATATACAGTAAAGACAAATATATGTGTAAAACTGAGTAAAAGCAAGATTGAATTAATCAAATAGAAATAATGTGGTCCATAAGGGAATAAGCTGCATAGCCCAAATATTGGCTGTGTACATCCAATTAGAAGCTTAAATATATATGCCCATTCATTTTTATCAACTTCACTTGTACAGATTGAGTCATTTTCCAACTTGTTCAATACAAAGAATCAAACTTTTTATTCAATGTGTTGGTTCACAACAAATTATACCAAGCACTAAACACTCGGTAACTCTCTCTACTGCCATTAATCCCCATGGTCTGCCACATTAAATTCATCCACTTTCAGTTCAATTGAACCTTAAAATACCCTACCCAATAAAGGAAGAGTGTAAAGATCTAAGCATAGAACCTCCTCCCTAAGGTTACTGTATTTGGCCACACAATTATATTTTGGCTTATGGCTCAGGACATTCCATTAAGTGGGTTATGGTGCCTCTGACCCTTGTCATCTCTCAATCAACCTAATCTCATCAAATTTTAAGTAATATGCCCTACCTGCCACCTTTGCTTTGTTTTAACCTTATAATAAATAACACAACATGCAACAGTTTCTCTTCCCCTGGGTAAAGTAAAATGTAGAATATAAGTTGTGATAACTATTGACACCATGAGGGTTACTTCCACTCATCTGTATGAACTGTGGCAGTAGCAATGACCTGTGAGATGAAAGCATGGTCAATGTAATATAATCTAATTTTATTCATATCATAAAGGCAAATGATGAAACTAATTCTTATTAGGTTGTGAGGTGTCAGAACTTACAGTGTTCCTTAATAACTTTGAAAATTTTGAATACAAATAAAAGAAGAACTAAAACATAAAAAACAATGCAATTTACACCATCTTGTAGCCCAATTAAAACAGAGTTTTTTATGTGTAGGTAGACACACATATGTACACCATTATAAGCTCTCCAAACATTTAACAGATACAGTATTCAATTTCAATCCATATTTGCTGCAACATGTCCACAGTCACTCTGGTGATGGTATCTGTTTACCTGGTCCCTGGCTCCATGATGTTTGTTACAGGTATGCAATACACATCTGGTCCAGGATGTACCTTACCAACAAATTTCAGTTGAGAGATGCACCATCCTATTGAATGATTATCTGTGAGTACATTTTCTTTCGTTGTGGGACCACAAACTTCTCCAGCATATCAAGATATTAGGGATGATGGATTAGTCAGGCTGAGGTAACTCCAAGGCCACCACATCCACTCGACATCATTCCATTCAACTTCTTTAGGGGTTTGTTATAGACTATGTGTATCTTACACCTGTAAATAACATTATGGAACTACTAACCATGATAACAGATGTCACTGTCAGTGTGACTGTGGACATGTGGTGAACGAAGACCAAAATCAAATATAAGTTATTAAATGTTCTGCGAGCCATTTATAGGTTACATCTGGAGGTCTATTGATATTTCAAGAAAAAAGGTTGAGTTTGGGCTACAAAATAGTGCAGCCTGCATGACTGTATATTTATTAGTTATTCTTTTTATTGACATGTAAAACAGGAAAAGTAATCTAGGAACACTGTTTAGTGACAGGCCTATAATTCATTTCTCCTACTTTCAGTTGCTATACAGCTGCACCTTTATGTCAATCACTATATAAGTGATTGATCACAAATATTTGTGATTTATTATTATATGGCCAGATTCACTCATAATGTCTTAGTATATGTACCAAAGAAATGTATTAAATGATAAGGGGTGTTGTTGGTACAGCAGTAATGTGTGTATTGCTCAATGTGTCCATGGTTCAATACCTAGCCTGGGACAGATGTGAGAAGGGTGTTACTCAGTGTGACCCCACCAAACATCACTGGTTTTCTCCAAAACTAACATTGGATAACAAAATCATAAAATAGAACCAAAGCACAGAACAATTACCTGAACAGCTAACGAGGTGAAACAATAAATAGACGTGAACAATACAAAATAAAGTTCTGGACAGCAAATACTTGACAGTAGAATGGGGACCTTTAAGATGACTTAACAGACCAATATGCAACCCTCCTGATCATACACTGATAACACCAGTGAATGTTTCTTAATATTTGCCATTGTTTGATTTATACCTCATGATAGAAGCAGTCTAACTTCTTATTTCCTCACTGATATTTTATAAATTCTCTTCTTATGAGATTAAGATTATGCAAGTTAATCTTCCTTCTTTGCAGGTAAAAGACACTTTGACCAAAGGTATTAACTGCATATCGCTCACTGAAATTCTTCCAAAACTTGAACACAACATCCCCTGGCTCTTCTTGTGATGTGAGAAAACATACACCCTAAGAGCCCCATCATACGAGAATATAATACAGGTCATGAATAAATAAAAACAAACTGGCAAATGCGGCACGGCCAGTCCCACCCTTCACTCCCACTCCTTTATGGAGAGAGGGATGGCTGGTCAGGGAAGAAATTACGTATATGTACAGTACCTACTGATTTAGCTTGTCATTTTATTTTGAAGTCAAACTATATATCATAATATGTTCAATTATTTAATACTGTACATTATTTATGATGAAATATACACCATAATTGGCTGATCACATGAGAATGTTGTATAATAATGAATAAATAAAAACTGGTGAACGAAGCAACATCCAATCCATCCCCAGCATGTTTAGACACGGTGTCATCTCTTGTTGATACCGGAGTAAATAAAATCAGTTTTACTTGACTTAGAAACACATTTTTTTTTACCCAAATAATCCTAAATAGTTATCTGAAAGTTTAGTTTAATAAATATATTAAAAAAACAAAAAAATCTTCATAATACAGGTGCATGAGGTACATACACTTGGTTACAAGGACAAGTAACCCTCTACCACTCTCTCCTCCACCTTCTATCTATAACCTCCGTAAATGTTTAAGTAAATAAGAACAAAAGTAAGAGATAAGATACAAGAAATCATGTAAAGAAATAAAAAGAAAAATTGAGAAAACCAAATAGAATAATTATGGAATAAATAGAAAATAAGGAGAAAAAACAGAACCATAATGTCTGTGGGGAAAAAGTAAATTTCTCCTCATTCTCTCGTGTTACTGACCTGACCTGATGCAATATCAGGTCACCCATTGTAAGGGTCGGGAATTGGTGGGTCTCATGACCATAAGATGTCTTGAATAAAGACAAAAGTAAAATACAGTCATCCCTTGGTTATCACGCCTAATTGGGACCGCGCCGAGTGCGTGATAACGAAAAACACGATACCGAAAGTACAGAACCTATGGGATTTATTCTAATTGGTTCCAGCACCCAAGACTCAACCCCAACTTTCCCATTTTATGACCATTTAGACCCACTAAAGATATAGATATTGTTATGGTAAGTATCAGAAACACACATAGGCATGGCTAGGTTTATTACAAAGTGATGAAAAGGGTACGCTCAATACTGTAGTCCACAAAACATGTAGCTATACTTTTTTTTATTTGAGTCCCCCATTATAGGAGTCCGTTTTCTCTCGCTTCAGGACGACTGAGTCCTCCATTTTCTCTCAATCTTAGAGTGCACTTCGTTATTCCTTAGTAATGACACAGAATTTGAAATTGCAACCCCAATTGCAACTGGGGTTGCAATTGTTGAGGCAACTAGATATGTCTGATTACAACAAATGTGTTATTGTCAATTTGAAGGTGAAAGATTTTATCCTCAATAGATGTAGGTGAAGCAAGGAGGTAACAATACACCTGGAGGCAACTGCGTGATAACTAAATTCTCGGCCTGAAAAATGCGCTATAACAGCAGGTGTGCAGATTTTGATGGAGATGTGATAACGAAAATCGCGATAACCAAGTGCGCTATAACCAAGGGATGACTGTACACTCTACCCTCGTTAATTCAGATTTGAGCTAAATTCATATATTTTTCATAAACAAACTAACCGTGTGGTTCCGAAGTCAATTATTATTATAGGAATATATTATGAAATACATTAAGATGAATGAATTGAGGGCCTTAGAAGTCACAAACGGCACTGCAGGGGAGATGGAGTTATTGGTGCCAATGTATCCTCTAAGTTGAGTTTTGTCTTGTGGAGCTTGGATTAGTGGCCATGAATTATTCTCACATGGTCGAATATAGCACTAAAATAAATTGTTTTGTGTACCGAAACGGACCCGTGTTCAGTTTTACCAGATTTATCGTCTTAAGTATATTTTTGCAACATAAAAAGTTGGTGACACAGGCCATGTATTTCAAGACTTTGCATAAATATTGTTAAGAACTACATGCACAGTAAATTATAGCAAACATACAAGTGTAATTAGTAATCTAGAAACTTCAAACAGATATAAATTACTGGCTTGCATCTAAGAAACTAAAGGTCATTAACTACCACTGGTTTTTATTTAGTTTGTCATCAGAAATCTTAGCGAATAAGACAGAAATTGTAACTGCATTATTAATATACTGTACTATATTTTTAATATCAAATCAACAATTAATGAAAATAAAACTAGAGCTGTTTCTAAAATAAATACAGGTATGTCCCACTGGCAGCAAAATATCCAAATA